TAAAGGGGCATCACGTTGAAGTAACTATTTTTTTGTCTTTTTTTTCAAATACTACATAAACATATCAAGTGAGTCTCCTTATGATTTTCTTCTGTATTGATGTTGTGATATATAATGTTGCCCCTGTGGTAAATTTCCTCATTTGTCAATGCGCTCGTACATATTACTGTGTGCTGACGCTATAGTAAATGTTTATAATATTCATGTGTGTTGACATTATGGTATAGTGTATACTTGTGACTTTATGCTGTGGTTTCTCCCATCCTTTGTGTGTTGAAGCGGTGATATATGACATGGCTGTGTTTTGAAGTATTGGTATATTTTATATTTGTGTGTTGACGTTGTGATTTATGACATTGTTGTGTGTGTGGCATATCTAATAATTTTGTGTTAACGTTATGATATATTACATCGCTGTGTTTTGAAATTGTCATGTTTTATAATTGTGTTTCGATATCGCTGTGTTTTGAAGTTTTGGTATATTCTATAATTGTTTTTTGCCGTTGTGATAAATAACGTCGCTGTGTTTTGAAGTTGTGGTATATTGTTTCTTGTTCACACTGAGATAAATTGGTTTCAATTGTTCTCACTTGCAGAAATGTATTGTATTATAATCTTGATTGATAGTGCCTCTGTGATGTCCTTGTGGGTGTATGAAGTATAATCTTGTATCCCTGGTTGCTGACGATGTGATATGCCATTTCATTTCCTTGTGAGCTGACGCTGCGGTTTAATATAGTTTTTAGAGTGGGGTAAGGTTTCGTAAAACTGTATTTAACTTATTATTGCTGTTGTTTCTGGCTAACCTTCAATGCATCTATCTTTTGAGATGTTTTTTATTACACCAGGTACTATATAAATTCAATTGGTCTGAATTAAACTGGCTTAATTGCTAAAGTAAGATTTACCAACTGTGTAATAAAATTGGTTGTATCACTGTAGTATGATTCACTGGGTATGTAATAAAACTGGCTATATTACTATGGTAAGAACAAAATTGTTCCTGGTAGTTCTATTATAGCATAATTGATAGATGAACACTGTCCGCTATACGCTATACGGTATATGGTATATAATTTTGTCTAAATAGACATATATGTGATATTGAATTTGTGATCGTCTCTCCTCGGGAAATTCACAGTCTCTCAAAATATATCTGCAATTTAAATATATGTAAAAAAAAAAAGAATTCGAAAGGCTTTTAATTATTTTATTTAATATGAAAACAAAATTTAATAGCTTTAAATTATCAAAAATCTTCAATACCTTACATAATTCGTCCTCATGTATTACTTTCAACCAATTTAACAATTTCTGATCCTTACATCCATCGAAAACTTTCTTCATGCTCACATCAAATCAAATATTTTCTCATTTTAAAGATATTACAGATCATCATAACAAATATTATCACATTATTCTCATCATATATCACAGACAAGTTAGTTGCTTAGAAAGACCTACACTTCAAGTAGCATGTTATAAATATTTCGAAGTTCTGTTTGCAAATCTAGTAAAATATTTTGTTCGAATCAAACTACGTTTTAACGTTCATGAAGTGCAATAGGTGTCCAAGGATAAAATGATATTCACGTTCATGCCGATGTCAGTGAATACAACCACGGTCTCCACGGGATAAGTGAAAATAGCAAAGATTAAAGTAGGGCACTCATGTTATTGCACTTTATGTTTTTGTAATAGATACTGTATGCCATAAATGAATAACCCTTCACTATACAACTGCTTTGTGATTCTACGATCCATCTGTGATGCAAAAAAAAACCGATGGATATCCAAATTGATCTTAATTACTGCGCAAAAGAAGAGCAGGGGAACCCATATCAAAATCCAAGATAGCCGACAGGCGGT